TAATTATATGACGGATCAGTAATTGTAATGAAAAGAATTATTTCTTGATATTGAGAAGAGCTGGAAAATGATAAATTAGCTGGCGAAAACCCTCCTTCCCAGATATTATTATTATAATGAATAGGTTGAGTTATATATTCAAGACAAATTGTAAGTCTTGCTAAAAATAAATAAATAAATTCAATTATATGTATAATACAATGCATATATATAGCACACAACAGCATAATATAATTTTACTTTTTTCCCTGAGCTCACAATTTATTGTAAATCGTTTCGTGAACCTTACACTAAGAACTATATAATAAATAATTTTAGTTAAAAAGTCAACATAATAATAATAAGGTGATGATGGTTATGATTATGATCATTATTCAACATTCATATATGATCTAACCCATCAATCAAATTCACCTGGTAGAGGAAACTGTTCCATTGGAGAATAAGTGTTTTAATTGTTGGTTTATCATTACGTACTCCAACTGATAATACGACCAAAATAGCTAATGATATCGATGTAAAGACTACAACAGTAAACCATTTACATAATACAACTGACATCGGCTCAGTTTTACACGAGTTCTTAAATAATAAATCTTTCAACATCATTTTTAAATGAAGCGTGATTTAATTAATAATAAAATAAATTTTGTTTTTAAAAAGAATAAAAGGAGCGTGTTTTTTAATTGATAATAAATTAAAAATTATTTTTTTAAAAAAACAGTTTATATTGAAAGAGGTCTACTTTTATTTCGAATTTGGATTTGTAATAAATCCAAATTAAGTGATTTAACATAAAAATTAAATGTTCTATTTTTAAATTACTTTTTCTGGTAAATTATTATTAAAATTGCAAAATTTAATATTGCTCTTCCGTATTTTTTTTGAATGATTATTATTAAAGTGTCTCTGTAGTGTTGTTGTTGATAAATCACCAAAATTGTTGGTATTGTCAATTAAAAAAACAACCATATAAAAATAATAAACTATTGTATAATTCGCCAACATTACCTGCAATATTTACAATGCCGTTGACCATTTGAAAAATAATAATGTTTGTAGGCAGCTAAAGTTCGTTTCCTAGAGGGAGAGAAAGAAATACTACTACTTTTGTTTTCATTGTTCATTTATACTTCCAATTACATTTTCGTTTATGCTTCCACTTGCACTTGCACTTTGATTTACGCTTTCATTTATGTGCTCATCCGATATTCATCATTATATTCACATTCATTATATTTATACTCACTATCATATTCAAGCAATTCAATCGCCTTATTATGACTATCATCATAATTATTATTGTTTATTATTGTCATTATACATTTTTAAAGAAAAAAGAATACACATATAATGTTAGAAATCAAAAATTAATTACTATTCCAAATGAAACACGTTTATAATATTGATCGTATTAATCGAGCTTGCGAGCCAACAGGCCAAACCGAGCCTGAGCTGAGGCAGTTGTTTATAAGCTTGGCTTGGCTCGAGCAGGTTCATGCGGAGCTTTAGAATCGCATGTCAAAACTTCAGATCTAGTTATTATATGCAATCAAATTTTTGGTCAGAATTTTATTTTTTTAGCCATCCATCAGTTTAATAAAATAAAAAGGTTAGAAATATGAAACTATGCACATATAATTTGGTTAATAAGGACGTTTTTGCAGTGTTGGGAATTGGACTTATTGGACTCTGGACCAATTCTAAAGGGGTAGCCAATCATATTTCAGAATTTAAATCAACAATGACAAATAAAAATCAAAATTTTCACATCATCATCTTTTATATATAGAATGAGAAAGATATGATTTACAGTTGGACTTTCTATTTGTATTAATGATATTTAAATAAAGTTATTATTTTTATCTTATTCTTTTTTAATAAATAAATACACTAAAATTCATACCCAAGTCTTTTTTTATTTGGAGTAGAAAGATTTTGTAAATTATTTATTTCTTTATATGATGTATTAATAAAACCTTCACTGTTATTATAAAGTTCATTTTCAATTGTAGTTTCAATTCAACAAATGATTATGACAAGTTTTTTAGTTAAAGTTATTTTCAATTCATTGATATTTATATTAGAGTTCTTACAAGCAATGCAGATACCCAAGTGATTGTAACCATTTGGTTTATCAGGTAAAGCATGAAAGTATTTTTTATATTGGTTACTTCTTTGAGGCATTGAAAGAGTAATAAGTTGTGTGTGATTGATTACATTCTTTACAGTAATAAAATTGAGAAATTTTTTATCTTTGTGTGACAAAGTCCAAATAAAGTCTAGTCCCAGTCTAATAAGTCCAGTCCAAACCAATTGGACTGATCCAATATACATGTACAACTAAGCCACTTTTTTTACTGCGTTGATTGGACTGGCAATTTTGACAACACTGCCGTTTTTGTGCAATTAGCTTTTAAACGTGTGTAAGCCTTTTGTCCATTATCATATTAAATAAACGCTATTTTCATTAGGATTAAATTCAAAAATGTAGTTCTTCTAATTTTACATCAACCATCTTTATAAAGTTTAAAAAAGCAAAGACAATCTAATAACATATATAAACATTGAATATTCTAAACAAGCTTATCCGACCCATTTTTATCTTCAAAAAAAAAAAAATTTTTATATGTATTACAACTGCACCCTGTTTTTCTTTAAATGACTAAATACTAAATCAGGAATTTGACTATAATTTTGGGGGTATTGTCATGATCATTTGATTGGCCATTCATTTTCTTCAAAAAATGGACTCAACGATATCAGAAAAATATTTTAACGAGAATGAAAGATTATTAAATACAGAAGATTTTTATGATGTAAAAATATATGTAGGTGTAGAACCAAACATAAAAGAAATTCATGCACATGCATCCATCATATGTGCTCATTGTCCATTTTTTGGCATTGCATTAAATAATGCAACAAAAGAAAATGGTTATTATATTGTTAAAAAAGCCAATATTAATGAACAACTTTTCAAAATTATCCTAAAGTAAGTTTATATTAAATTATTATTATATTAGTTTATTAATTTATTGTTAAATTATGATTATTATTATTTATTTTTAAAAGATTTTTGTATACATGTAAAATTGAATTAGACAATTTTACTGGAGTTGATGTATTAGAAATATTAATTGCAGCTGATGAACTTGGTCTTGAGTCACTTTATGAATATACAATGAATTATTTTATTAAAAAACATGAAGATTATATAAAAGAAAACCCAGTTAAAATTCTACAATTGATTTATTCTAATGAAAAATTTAAGGAATTGAAAAATATCTATCTAGAAAAATTTTATAATTATGATAAAAAATTATTTCAGTCAAGTGAATTTGAATCATTGGAAAAACCAATTTTATTGGAAATTCTCAAGAGAGTTGATTTTTCTGTTGACGAAATAATTATTTGGGAAAATGTTCTTAAATGGGGATTATCAAGACATCCAGAAATCAATAATAATGATCCTAAAAGTTGGTCACCACAAAACTTTGTTGATATGGGCAACACAACAAAGGATCTTATTTCTCTAATAAGATTTCAGGATATTTCTAATGAGAAATTTTTTAATAAAATTGTGCCCTATCAGAAACTTTTTACTAAGTTTTTCTGGAAGGACATATTACAATATTATTTAGTTCCTGATAGACAACAAGCATTAAACGTATTACCATCAAGAAAATCAACAATAATTGATGAAAAGCTTATTTTGCTTTTTGCAAGTTGGATAGATAGAAAACGTTCACCATATAATTCATACAAAGAAGTTAAATATGAATTTAAACTTTTATATCACAGTGGTAGAGATGGTTTAAATAATACAGTATTTCATCAAAAATGTGATAATATCAACAAAACTCTTGTAATTGGTAAAATTCAAAATTCAGATCAAATAATTGGTGGTTATAATCCACTCAATTGGAATGGAAATGGTTATAAAAAAACAAATGAAAGTTTTATATTTAATATAAATGATAGAAATGATATTAATACTGCACAACTTGGCTATACTAGAAGTAATGATTATTATCATGATTATCATCAACAAGCAATTTATTGTCATTTTTCTTGTTTGCCTATTTTTGGTGATGGTCATGATATTCAATTTAATGTTGATTGTATTTATAGTGATTCATACACTTATAATAACATCAATATAACACATGGTAGTAGATTTGGTGGATTAGAAGTTTTCCAAGTAATTGATAAAAATAAATAATCAAAAATTTACAAATAATTATTTTACTAATACTACTGTACCTTTGCAAAATTTCAATGTAAATAAAAATAGTGTTTCAAAAAAAGGGATTCACAAGAAATTGCATATCTCAACATACACTATATGGGCAAAAAGCTAGCACATATTTAAAAGTAAATTGTTTAGTGGTGGAATGCATTTCTTTATTATAATTATAAATACAAACCTTTGAACATTTTAAAAAATTTGGAATGCTTATGATCATGACCAGTATAAGTAACTGCACAAAAACATACTTAATAATAATTGAATAAAAACTGCTATTTTGTAGCTTAGGTTCACCAAATTATATGTGCAAGGTTTCATATCTCTTAACATTTTTATTATAATAATGGCTAAAAAAAAATAAAAATCATGCCTGAAATTTTAATTTGGGGCATGCTGCAACAAAATCAAAGTGAACATTTGCATTAACAAAGAAATGAATTTCATATAGGGTGACAGTTTTGAAATTGACAAATCTATATGTGTAATGTCGAGTTGTCCCCCGTACCCCAGTTAATATGCAGTGATTAAATGATCTCAATTTACATATTAATATGTTTTATTCTTACGCTTTTATATTTAGTGTGGGATTCCACTAAAAGTTCTCTTACAACAATAGAGACGATAAGTTTTTTCGCCACAATAATCATCATCATCCATTGATCTTCTACATTATCTCCTTTATGCTTTTCATTACATGTTGGACATGTTTTTGAATAATCGAAATAATCACCATACTTATTATTATATTTTAATGATAGACAAGGAAATCGGTCCAATACCATTTTAATAACATGATTCCATTTTTTTCTGGATCATCTGGTAAAATTGAAATCGGAAGTCGGGATTCGTTGGATGTATCTTTGTTTATAGGTGGTATGTTTATATTTGTTTCATCAGAAACCTTTTCAGATAATCCACTTACTTCTGTTTCCGGTAAACTTTCTTTTATATCTGAAGACGATGCATCTATCTCAGTTTCTGGTAATTTTCCTAAATCAGTATAATCAATTTGAGATTTGACAAGTTCATTAGTATAAACTTTTATTATATTTTGAACTTGTGTACTAGTTAAACTAGAAATAGCATCAACACTATATGTGGCATACTCAACTTTATCTATTCCTACACCTTTGAAGAATGTATTGATAATTTTAGCCTTTTGTGTCATCTCACGCAAATACTCTCTTTTGATTCCAGGTATCATTTCATCATTTCATCATAGATTTGTGTTTTTGCCATTTGATCACTAATATTATTTTCTGAACTTAGATTTGAAACTTTTTTTTCACTATAATGATACCATCACAAATTTTCTTTTCGTCCAGTTTTTCAGCTTTACCAAATAAAGAAGCTAGGTGAGCTACGGAGCCAGGAGTAAGATCTACATCAACAGGAATATTCGAAATTTGTTCAATGAAGATAGAATTTAATGGAATCTTCTTTGGATTTTGTAAGGTCTTGATATCAATGCTTCTAATAAGTTCAAATAGCTCACGTATTAAACCTTGTTCTACTTTCTGATTATATGGAATTTTTCGGAAGAAACACTGATTGATTTTTGGTATAAAATTCTTTTGTATCGGTTATTGATCTTGAGAAGTAGATGCTTCATTATTTCGTAATAGAGTTTTTTCCCGTTCTCTTTCTTTAATATCACTTCTAATTTGTTCTTTATGTACTCGTTCTAGAAATTTGATTTTTTATCTTCAAAAGATACATCAGAATTTGGAGTATCATTAAGATCAACGGAATTTGAACTAATATCAGATACATCAGACACAGGAGTATAAGTGGCATAGCCACGAGTCTTTGACTCATCACTTTGTAAGTTTATCTGTTCAGGAGTATCGATATTATCAGAAGAATTGTTTTGTAATTGTTGCTGTTCTAATTTCGCAACTCTAGATTTAAGTTCATCATTTTCGGTAGCAATATTTTTATCATTATGCTCCAGTTTAGCAATCTTATGTTGAGGGCATGATATAGCAAAGATAAGTTAGTAATTATTATATGACATATATGACAATCTTTTTATGAGAATCATACTGGGACTTCGGCAGATTGAAGATCGTAACATCGAACAAGAACATTCAAGTGTAATATATTTTTCGCTCTTGTACATCTAAATTAATTATACATATTTATAGGATGCTTCCTAGAAATTTATCTTACTTTTATTAGCCTTCGGATTTTTTATTCTGAAGAACTTTCTGCACGTGATACCAGCAAATCGAAATTTTTTGTGGCCTTCGGTCACATGCCGTTTGATTTGAAATCAATTTAATAAAATAAACTTTCTTTAAACTTTTTCGAATAAAAGCATGTCAAAAAAATGATGATGTAATCGATATTATTTTGTATCCAATAGATAACTTTGACTTCCTATCAACAGGTGTTCATTCTAAAGAAATCCATGAAGAAATTTCTGAAAGACTAAATATCAAATACCTATCAGATTCTCTTCATACAGAGGTGAAATATGTAAATGAGATCATGTTTGGTCCTTTTTACAGAATTTTCGTCTCTTTGCCGGTTCAAATCAACCAAGATATTAAGAATGTACACTTCTTTATTGACACGGGATCACCAATGACTTACATTTGCAAGGAGGTATATGAATCGTTCAAAGTAACCATGCTCAATCCATCCGCTCATAGAGTGTATATAAACAACATTCCTATCGTAGCACAATTACCACCTATCAACTTGCGCTTCATGGATGTAAACCTTCTTGGAACAATATTTCTAAAAACCTTTGTTGCAAAATTAACCATGGATTTCAAAAAAGAATATGTTTTTCTATCATTTGACTCTTTTAACAATACAACTCAAAATGAATTTTGCTCTTTTAACACTACAATTCAAAATGAAGAACAAAAATTTTCTCAACTAAAATATATTTTAGGTGGAACAGTTGGATTTGGTCTATTTTGTTTAGCTTTGTTTTTTATTTTAAAGAGAAGGCTTCATTAGTAGTTTTATTCTTATTATTATTTTATAATGCTTTAATTTCACACAAAATGATGATGGTGGTAACGAGAAATTTGTTTTTTAAAAGCAATTATCTAATTTGATTTTAAAAAATTCTTTCATCTCTTCATTTTACCGTAATATGCTTATCATAATATAATAAAATAAAATTTATTCGTGCATTATGATCTGAATCATTGTGATCAAATCACAAAGGAAGTAAAAGGCTCGAAAAATATCCAATGATAAAGAAAAACTGAACTTTTATAGGGTCGTCCATATCGATCATATGCAACATTGATCTCTATACATCAGAATAAACCCTAGAAATACACATTCAAAAGTAAACGCGACTATATATGTATATATGTGAAATCGAGCCGTCAGGGCTAGCTTTATTGATACGGGATAAATAAAAAAATAAAATACAAGATAAAAATAAAATACAAAATAGAAATAAAAAAAACTAATTACCATATGGGGAGATGATGTCGTTGAACTACTTTTATCACTTCCACGTGTTCTCGAGTTAAATAGCAAAGACAGATCAACAATCAGGATTCTCTAAAAATTAAAAAAAAAATCAATAAATAAATATTGTGGAATATATATTTATGATAGAATATAAACGAATGCATACTCGTAGCAATAACAAAGCCTCTATAAATTCGAATATAGTTTTTTTATTATCTGTATATTGTGTTGGAATATTTACCGAACGTAAAAGGAAAAGACGACTTATTTCTTCATGAACTTTAATGAAAACATATAGATTAAACCTTTCTCCAGCAACTTGGAATCCTAGAATGTCAAATTCATTTTCATCTAATCTACATCCCCTATTCGCCCAATATAACCCGCTGTTAAGTTCACGCCACGATTTTACTCTATCATCATCCTCTTTTTCGTCACTACAAACAATACGTGAACATTCGGCAAATATTAATTCATGAATTCTCTCTTCGTGCTCAGCTATAAACATAATATCTGGGTATTTCCCTCTTTCTCCTCTTCTATTTTTGCTAGCCACGCTTGGGCTTTCTGCCCTATAATATAAGTAAAAATACTCGAGGAAAAAATAATAGAGTTTACTCGCATGCTAGTATATGCAGATTTTCCAATTGACAGATCTTTCAATGCAGCTCTAATAATAGGAACAATAACATCCGTAACATATGTTCCCTCACTCTGTGTTTAGCAAATTTAGGACTAAAAGCTGGATTTTTCCAAATCTCTCCTCTATAACATAATAATAAAAAACATTAATAGAGTATTTGGGTAAACATTAACAAATTTAGTATCATACCGAGAATCTTGACTGAAATATCCTTAAGGGCTTCTTCCCTCTCTGTCCAATTTACATGTGACAGTTTTTGAGGAGGTGTCTCCATAGTACCATCATCATAGTTTAACACAAATTCTTCACATGTTGTTTTTACTGAATTAGGTAGAGATTTTTGCATATATTTTACCGATTCCTAGAGTATATCCATTTTAAGTAAAAATTTAATATATAAAAGTGATTTTTTTTGTTCTTACCATAAAAGATTCCTACCCTTCTTTGATAATTGCTTAACCATCTCCTCTTCACTACTTATAACCTGACTTGCAAGTGGATTTCGCCATGAAAGTTCTGAAGATTTAATCTTACCAATACTTTTTCGTAATGATTTAGCATGTCTAGCTTTACTTTTTTAAAGGTTCCCTTTCAATATTTCGTAAATTATTTTTTATCTCGTCAATAGGTAGCTGTTGTTCCTCTTTAGAAACTTCAAAATCACATAATCCTTCGTAAGCATTATCAAACTAACGCAGAAAAAAAAACTTAAGTTATATATTGTTACTATGAATAATTATTATAAAATCGTGTGCGCATACGTCAGATTTTTATCATGTAAAATTATCAACCATGTATGGCCAGTACAGATATTTTAGTCTCGAACTAGAAGCGAAGAAATACCCCCATACATCTGTGGATCAATACGTAATGAATAAACCAGGGCTTGTGTGGCTTTGGATATAACTTCACTTCAGTTATCAGAATTATATTTATCACATAATATAAATTTTTTCTAACGATTGATAATAACTAACCTTTAAAGATAGTCCTTGAAGCTTTTGATATTTTCCTGGGTCTATTTTATACGAAGGTAAGACAGCTTGATGAAATATTCATAACCTATTTTTTTTTCTGTGACGTAATTATCTGTTGATCGAGCATAATTTTGGAAAAATACATGTTTCAGATTTTACCTCTTTTTACATATTTAATCGATATATATCAATATAATAAAAATACATGTTAATTCAAGATTTTGGCTTATTTTTACTAGATATGATAGGTCAAAAAAGTCAAAATTTTAAATACATATAATTGATAAATATGTCAAGCTATTATTTAATAGTATGTATGATACAGATTGTAATCCTGAAGAATGGGCTGAATATTGTCATCCAATCCACGTGAGCTATAAATTTCTATATCCCAGGTAAAAATCAGTGTTTTATCTTGGGATAAAGCTGAAGTAATTAATGAGTTTTTATATTCTTCACTAATTCGATTATAATCATTTACAGATATCTGGAATAAATAAATTTCTGAAGATGGATATTTATACTCGTGTAACCTTCCCAACTAGAAAGTAGTGATCTTTTTTCATGGGCTATTTTTCGGTAATAATATTGACAGTTTAAATCATCAGAAGCTGTCCCTAAATTAGATTCACGAACTGCTTTCAAAGTGTTAAGTCGGCCATATTGATTCCATGTTATGATACGTATATATGATTTCTTTTCAGTGTAATAGCCACGAACTGGGTAAGCAGAAACAACTCCAATCTCAAATTTTGATGCATCTTGAGAGTTTTAGATATAATTTTAACTAAATTACTTTTAAATGCAACTAGGGATTCCCTATCCGAAACAGAGACATTGAAGAAAGGTTTAATACCAGTAATGTCTACTCTAGCATTTTGCCCATTAATCAAAGTACCATAAATACATAGAATATATGTGGATGCTCCTTTTATATATTCAGTGGCATCACTTACATCGATAGGCATGAAGTATATGGGTTGTTCATCGGATAAGTTTTGTTGAAGCATAGCTGATAACCCATCATCATATTCTGCAATTTTATCATTGCGAGATGGAAATCCTACTATGTTTCCCCACTCCTGTAGCAGAGTAAACATGCATCAGTTTCTTGTTAATGGTATGGTGACATTAATACTATATTTTTGAAATCTGTCAGTTAGTAAAGTTATATGATCTCAATATATTTTCGTAAAGTTTAAATTATTTTTTTCGGTGGGTGATGAATGATAGCAAAAAATATATATATTGAATTTACTGAAATTAACATTAACAATCGCAGTCTTGATAAGTGGAAACTTAGGGTATATAAGTGCAGTATTATATATAATAAATATGACAGTTATATACCCTTTTTGATGATACATTTTCAGGGTAAGCGTTCTTCGGAAATATATATAATAAAAATACGCAGTTATATACCCTTTTCGATAGTGTTTTTGGGATATGTACTAGGGTATATAAGTGCGGTATTATATATAATAAAATATGCAGATATACACTCTGTAAAGAACATAATAAACAACTTAAAACTTAGAATTTCGATTGAGATGGTGTCACAAAAGTCGTCACCAAAGATTTTTTCAATGACAAAGTAAAAAAATGACTTTGGATAAAAACGGCTCAAATTAAGATCCTGATTATATAATAAATATATATATATATCAATTTACTGGAATTAATGCCAACAAACGCAGTTATATACCTATTTTATAGTATGAATTCAGGATATATAACTTCAGTATATATTATATAATAAAAAACGAAGTTATATACACTTTTTGATCTTAGAAAAATTCGCCTTCGAATGCTTTAAAGCCCACATATAAAGGAGAAGCAGAAAGCCGTTTAAGTTTTTTATCCTAACTAATTCTACTCTCATATGTTTACAGACATTTTCCATTTGCTTTTCCTGGAGTGCTACATAAAATTGATCGTGAACATTGGTTCACGATAGCCACGTTTGTTACATTTTGGAAGCTGAACATGGGGTATGAATAGATATTTTTATCGCCTGATTAAATAGCCAATTTAACACCAAATGACAACATAAATGTGGCTAAAACGCAAAACACACCTCACTCGACTGTTGTCGAAAATGCAAAATGGTTCTACCTCATTAAAATGCAATCGAATGATGTCATACAATTAAATGTATTATCGGGATGCATATGAATATTGTTTTTTTTACTACCCAATCAACGTGGTCGGAAATTAAAATTGGCCACATACGATTTCCTAGTACTAGTATATAAGTAAAGTTGGGATGTTTATAGTCCGCAACCACGGCGTCTGGACTATAATTAATCCAGACTTGTGGCTAAAAAACGAAATAGGCCACATGTTCTAGACCCAGGATGGTGAATATGACTCTCAAATGTGGCCAGAATCGCGTAATCGGCCACGGGAATAATTATAATCCAAACTAAGTGATTATAATTCACTCAATTAGAATGGAAATGGTTATAAATAACAATTGAAAGTTTTGTATTCAATAAAAGTAATAGAAATGATATCGATACTACACAATTTAGCTATGTTAAAAACGAAAATCATTATCAGTGTGCAATTCAATGTGGTCCTGGTTATTTACCTATTTTTGGTGGTTGTGATATTCAATTTCTTCCAACTGGTGGTATTTATATAAACCAACCACATACTTATAACAACATCAATATAGCAAATAATAGTAGATTTGATGAATTAGAAGTTTTTCAAATAGTTTATAAAAAGTAAAACAATCAAATTTACAAAAATAATTAATTTTACTTCTGCAAAATTTCAATGTGAATAAAAAATATTCAAAAAAAAAAGGACATACAAAAAATTGCATAATTGTTGAAAGTTCATCATTTCCTTTAAATAAAAAATAAAAAAAGATATTTTCTCCTAAACAATATTTTTGACTGTTCCCAAGGGATTTTTTATCTTTCTAAACACGATTTTTTTATATATTTCAAAAATACATTGTAATTGACACTATAATTTTTGGGGGGTATTGTAATGATCATTTGACATTTTCATTTTTATTTCTCAAGAAAAAACAAAAATGGACCCAACAATTTCAGAAAAATATTTTAATGAAAATGAAAGATTATTAAATACAGAAGATTTTTATGATGTAAAAATATATGTGGGTGTGGAACCAAACATAAAAGAATTTCATGCACATGCATCCATCATATGGGGCATGCTGTAACAAAACCAAAGTGAACATTAGTATTACCAAGAATTTCAGGGATCAATATTGTTTTTAACATCACAATTTTATTACCAATATAATATGATCAAGAATTATAGTATTATCAGAAGTATCTCAAAGAAAGAACAAGGTGAGAAAATTGCTCCTTACGTTTTCAAATTAAGTGACCCTCAAGCACTCGAAACTTATCTAGGGAAAGAAAAGATTACTTAAAAAAAGAGTGGTTCGAAAAATCAACAACAAATAATTTTTTAATTTCATGTTTCATTGAGCTTCATTTCTTTGAAATTGCCCGATTCTTCCGTAACAGGCCTAACTCTTGGAGCTCAGCACAGTTTAACCTCTTTTTAAAAATATATTTTAAAAGGATTGTTATTTCTTCACTAGTCCAGTTCCTAGACCCATGTAAAGCTGGACCATCCCATTCTACTAAACTTTCCTCATCATAATCAACATTTTCTAACTCCTCAACTACCACTTGCATCACAACAGATTCTTCATTCTGTTTCTCCTCCCTTCCTCATCATCATCTTCTTCGCCATCATCATTAAGTGGACCTTCTTCTTCTTCATTGTAATCAATGTTTTCTAACTTCTTGATCACCACCTGCATTGCAACAGATTCTTCATTTTCCTCTTCTTCTTTTTTTTTTATTATCATCATCACCACCATCATCACCACTTTCTTTTATGTGAATTTCATTTAAATTCTCACGTATTTTATATGGTTCCAGTGGCTTTAATGGCCTTCCACTGTAGATTAAGATCTTTTGAACGAGACTTTTAATATTTATTATTTCATCGTCATCAATCTATTACAATATTATCAAAATTGAATTCATTAAAATAAAAATAGGATATTCATTTGAAGAGAATGCAATTTACTTACAATAGATGATGATGATCGTGAAGAAGAAATCTCACTAGTAATGAATTAAAAGCAATGATGACATATGAATTGCAGTCTATCCTTTGTTTAATAGCACTCACAAAAAGCAACAACCCTCAAACAGGTACTTACTTGTTGGGTGCACCTATTAGAATTCGTTTTTGATTTTTTTTCTTTATCGATTTCGACATTTTTTTTTTATAATTAATCAGACAAAAAGCGTGATGTAATTTTATTTATACCCCTATTTTTTTTCCCCAGAATACGCGAATTTAAAAATTTTTTTTATATATAAATGAAGACAAGCGTTCATCCATCAGTAACATAAATACTATTTGGCATGGTACTCTAATGAAGGAGGAATTGCGCTGTTTGTTAACAACCAGATATCTATGATTGTGGTTGAAATCAAGGTTACTTACCACAACGAATGATTGGTATCGTTTTGCTTTTCGTAACATTAAGCAGCATGAATATAGAAAAAAAATAGCACCTGAACGATTTGAAAATACATTTCGATATATAACATTTGATCATTGTAAATCTCAAGTGTTCAAGTGCACCACTTTATTTAAAACACTACAATCATTCACATCTTTCCTCACGTACATAAGGCTAAATTGACTTGCTCCCCTGATAATATGATGATGCAATTGAATTACAGGGAGGGGAGGCGTTGCCCTGAAGTTTATCAAGATTGCATTATTGTCAAATATGCTCAGATGAATCCCTGATCTTTCCTCACTGCACCTAAGCTAGTATTACTTTTAGAAGGCCAAAAATAGTACAGTTTTGTTGGGTATGCTCATGTAAATTTGATCATCTTCCAAATTCTCTGTTTTTGATGAATTTTACTTGGTTAATTAATTTATTTTTTTGAATGTGTAGGAGATATACCAACAAACTGCAACCCAGCAGCCTGCTCAAGGCTATAATGGCAGAAACCAAACCTGGTTTGAGGAGAAGATAAAGGGAACTTTTGCCCATCTTGAAAAAAGCCTTCCAACATTTGGGGACCTTCACCTGTGGAAAAATATCCCACAGAAGTTTTGAGGCGTGTTAAGAGCACCAACTGTATGTTTGTGATATGAAAGTTTTATTAAATCTGACACCTATTATTAATATCATCAGATTTATTCATTTTTTTTTAAGGAACCATATAATTGGAAGATTTTTTTTTTTTTTTTTTGATACCAGAAATCTGGGTAGACATGCATTATTAAAATTTTCATTTATGCATGGCCTTGGTGTTATTACTACTTTGGTGATACAATTGTTTGTTATGTCAATGATGATATCAAATGTATTGAATAATCGTCGTGATGGATGTGAAGACAAAGGAATTCATATATGAGGAAAGGATTAGATAACAACAAAAAAGCTAAGTATTATCTATATAATTAATTATTTTGAAAATTTATTATTTTAATCCACTTTTGTAATGCCATTAATTTCAATAATTCTGAAGTTTCTTTAATGTTAATGATTGAAATCAATCACACAAGTGGTAGTCAATTTACCCATGGAACTACATCTTCGCATGGTTATGGACTCCACCTCTGCTGTGGCCAGCTTGTGACTTACTAATTTGTGACCTGCTAAATTGCAGTTGCAGTTTCTGAATAACCTTTAAAAAATTTTTCTAAGACTGAATCTAGGAAAACGGGATTCATTGACAATTTTTGGTTAAAATGTCACAATCTTATGGAATATGAAAAGTTGAAGGTTAACAGTACATTTTTAAGTTGTGAAGGAGTACAAATTGGTTGTATTGGTAATGTTGGGCAAAAACGAGTTTATGAAAATCATGAACAACCGAACATCAAAGAAGAAACATCACCAGAGTTGACATGGGGAAAGCAAAAATATGTTACAGACAAGAATTCTTACAGTATACAAAAAAAAAACAAAGAAATAATGTGGCAGAAGCCTCATTGTAAGTATTGTTATAACTGTTATTGTTGTTATTTCGTTAGTTCAAGCCCTAGTTATTTAATAATTCTTGTTGGTTAATCAATTGTATTTGCTTATAGATCACAAACAGAAACTGAAACAGAAACAGAAACAGCATTATCAAATGATACAAATACTCCAAAAGATTATGATACAGATGATGATGATCTTGATTATATAGAAGAGGAACTGATCACAGAAGAAGAATTATCAGAACAAGTTGAATTGAAAAAAATTTGGATTGAGGATAAAGAATTTGCAAAGAATTTTGTGCACAAGAGCGGACCTGAGGTATGATTGTTTGATAATATTTCATTGAATAAGAAGGGTTCTTTTCATATATACTGTATTTATTTTCTTTTGTAGTGTGTCATCAATAATATGAATTTTTCTGATCTGTTGAGAAAATATCAAATAAATACATATGACAAGGCTAAATCAGAAGGACTTGAAGTTAAAGTTGATCATGATGAAATATTGTAAGTGCTCAATTTTTTATATAGTAAAAAAATTTGCTGGTATTTTTTTTGAATTATTATTTATTTATTACTTGATGGAAATGTAGAGCATTATCTTCAATTTTAGTATTAAGGGATCAACCATCACGTTCATTACTCTAGGTGTTTGGTACTGAAAAAATCAATACCTTGAAGACCAAGGTTAAAAAAGAAATAGAAATTGATATATTAGAAGATTATATGTTCAATGCAATATCTAATAGTGTTAGGGTAAAATTCAATATTTTTGCTATTTAAATTACTAGAAAATATTTATATCACAAGGTGCTGCCAAGACAAGTCTAGATTCATATCATGAACCAATTTCCAAACATATTTATTGTATTTATAGTGACAGGTATGATACTATTACTAATGCTATATTGTGTACTAATAGTGACTATTTTCTTATATATTTATCTATTTAGAATTGAAAATTTACCAAATAAAAAAAAGAATTTAGTGGAAGACACTTTTACCAATAATGATTTAGGCCTGATTTTCAGGCCATTGTTCCATGATGTGAATGATCATTATCTATATTGGTATGTTTTGCCATGATATTTTTTCAATTGATAAAAACCAATACCAGCACTAATTTTTAATAATAGGTCAAATGGTTCTTCTAAATCTTCTAAAAAACAACATGGTGCATTGGATTGCAACCTGACATGAGAGTAGTTGATGAACTCGGACCCGGACACTTTACCGACACCCACTTTACCGACAACACGCGACGTGATATTTTAGCATTTTGTAGTTTGTTTGATTATGTAGAGATTAAATGTAACCCCGCGTGTTGTCGGTAAAGTGTCCCAGACCCGATGAACTTACTAAAACAGAAATATTATTTGGAGAAATCAGCAACCCCCTCAAGGTGAATTGCAAACTTAAGACTACAGTTGATTTTGTAAGAATTGGCAGATTTTTAAAAGATTCAATAGATGATATCATTACTAAATTGAAACCATCTGATATATCATGAATAAAATTACTTGGAGTCCATATATTAGGCTATGAAGTTCGTTGGTATTTGTTCTATATTAAATATGATGGATTTTATATATTTTATGAAATGGCAAAAACCAATTTACCTGCAGCAATCAATGAAATAAGTGTCCTTCAACAAGGTTTAGATATAATGAACACTTCACGAGTACATATCATGTATTATTTTTTATTTTGGATCTTTTTATTTTTACATGTTTCTTTATCAATTGACTTTCTATTTATTTTCTTTTCCAGTCTATGATGATTAATACATTTTGCTATGTTTGTAATTGTTATTTGGAAGACAAAAACAGTGCAAATAATCAGCATAATCTCTTATTAAGAGAAACCAAGTAATCCAAATTTAGTACAAATATTAAACGCTTTTGATTAATAATATATATACATAATTTTTTATATTATTTTTTAAAAAACATAATTTGCAATATTGATAATAATAATAATAAATATATATAGTACAATTGTGATGTTGATTTACTAGAATCCTGATTTCTGAAAATTTGACTTAATGTTCACTTTGTCTGGTTTTGTTGCAGCACTCCCCATTTCAGTCAAGTGAATTTGAATTATTGGAAATTCTCAAGAAATGATTTTTCTGTTAATGAGATAATTATTTGGGAAAATGTTCTTAAATGGGGATTATAAAGACATCCAGAAATCAATAATAATGATCTTAACAATTGGTCATCACAAAATTTTGTTGATTTAGGCAACACAATAAAGGAATTTATTTCTCTAATAAGATTTCAGGATATTTCTAAAGATGATTTTTTGATGAAATTCTACCCTAACAGAAACTTTTTACAGAGTTTCTCTGGAAGAACATATTACAATATTATTTAGTTCCTGATAGACAACAAGCATTAAACTTATTACCATCAAGAAGCATAAAATTTATTCCAATGCTTGAATCAACAACAATTAATCAAAAGCTTACTTTACTTTTTGCAAGTCAGATAGATAGGAAAAGTCCACCATTTAAATCACACAGCGAA